TATGAATGTCATCCAATGAACTGACAACATGACACTGTTTCACAAGTTTATTTTTATATCTAACACAAGTTAATATGTACAGATGTTTCACAGTGGATGTTTTTGTGGACTGAGGTGCTTTTTTCTGTTGTTGAGAGACGCATGTTGCGTGTTGCTGTCTTCAATGCGGAGCCCTCTGGGGCTCAACTAGAAGCAGTAGAGTAGCTGACATCACAAGTGTTACTTCTGTTCTGACTAATCAGATGAAAAGGAAAGCAGGTCTTCAGTAAAAGTTGCAGTGACTGAGTGTCCTGATCAAAATTATGACAACATAAAAAAGCAGTTTCATTTTTTACTGTAGATTGATTTTTTTAAATATCAACACTGTGATTTCTAGTTATTAGTAGATCATTAGTAGATCACTGTCTAAAAGAGCAGGTGTCATCTTGAAATGACAGCTAGTAAGCATAGCGGACTCATAGTTATAACAGTATCATGGCTAAATTACAGGGAGAAACACAGCCAAAAGCAGTGTTAAAAATACTGTGTGAACCCCACAAATCCCTCAGTGTTGAGAGTGAGATGGTGACTGTAAACTGTAGATTTACCTGTTTCCATGGAAAAGCCGTGAGATTGCACAATTTTACTATAGTTTACTATACTTTTTACTACAGTTACTATACATTTAGACAATGTGTTCCTCTTTTATATATTTTTATATTCAATATTAATACTAAATGGGTTGAATAGATACTTTAAGTATTGCATGTCAAAAGGACACTATAAACATAAGACACTGAGAAATGGACGCAACACTGTAACAGAAGAAATGGCACTAAAAGTTATCTTACTGTATTCTGTCATATCAACTCTGAAAGTGCAATGACAATGTTATGTCAGTTACATAAACAGTCACTTTTCATGGATGTTATTAGAGTTTGTTATGAGAGTTACATGAGTTTATGTAGATTTATGTCAGTTGTCATAAGTTTCTATGAAGACTGTCCATAAATAAAGTGTTATCCATATAAACCCATGCAAATGTGCTACAATAGTACAAGTATATTGTATGCTTTCCTTAAACATTGTCTGTGTCGGTCCAGTCATGGTCCAGACTTATAATCCTACATTTGCACACCATGACATCAACTTAACTGCAGGTGAGACGTTTTCTCTCTACTGAATACATTCAGAAGGCCAAATGTTCAGTACTGTGCAAAAGTCTTAGGCACCAAAGCAAATCATTTAAAACCATTTATCTTGGCAATGTGTGAGTCTTTGCTTATAAAAACATCATGTAATATTACAATAAATATAAACAAACATAAATACTGTAAAAAGTAACACGTTAAGTAACAAGTTAAGACGTTGTGATGTAGTTAGAAGAACACAGGTTTTGGTTCCAGATTTCTTCTTGATGGCCCCAGACATTGTATAGGTTTGTTCAAATTCATCACCAGCACACTTGATTTAAATGAAGGATTGATTAGTCGGACCAGGAGTTGGAAGAAAAAACACTTATTGTGAAATTAAATAACTTATATAAATATATTCATACAGCACTGTATAAACAATGTGTTCTATGTGATGTTCCCAAGTTTTTCTCGATCCTTGCTGAAATTCACATGCAGAATGTGTTTGATTTGTACATGAAACTACTACATCAGGTCCACAGAGTAAAGAAGCAGTGTTCCTCAGTATTGGTCCTTATATGTCACATGCAGATTCGACAAATCTCCACTATGATCTGTGTGGACAATATGTGGATATAAACAACATGATATTTACAAAAAAAAGACGACTGTTAAGAAAGTAATAATGTCTAAATCAAGAATTTTGAACAAACTTTTATTTTAAATCACTACAAAATCATTTTGCATCTTATGAAAGAACAGTGTACAAACTCATGTATAGGACTTTTTCTTGGTGGAACTGTTCCTATGGAACAACTAATACAGCACACAGTGCTTATAGTTTATATACAAAGACAGATCTGACCTTACAAGGTGGTCAGAACAAACACACAGAACAAGACAGATCTTACAAAATCCACGGTGTATATAAACATTACATATACAGAAACTGTTGGATGTGCATTTGATGCAGGACATTAATAATTTAAAATCACACAAGAGACCTGATTTAGTGTAGAAGCAAAATGTGAATCTTTCATTGGTACAGTACATTAATATAAATATAACAGAATTATGTCCATTTACTGTAGTGCCCTAAAGCTTTAAGGGTTCTTCTTCCAGCAGCTGATGAATCACTACTGCAGCTCAGAATATGAATCTGAAGACCTGAGATGATGACGCTGGTTGGGAATTACAGTCTAAACCAGAGAGATTTTCAAATCCAGACCTCATTAATGAATCTGTTCAGTCATTTTGTAATCACTGATAGTTAGTAGAACAGTTTGTGTTGAATGCTGGGTAAATGGGGGTGTAAACCTATGATACATGCTTGTTGAAATTCTAGTCTTGTCATCTACTGGCCTTCAAAACACTTAGTCACAGACTGTAGAAGTATTGTAGGACAGTGGTTCTAAGCTCTGGTCCTGGAGAACCCCACCCTGCATATTTAGTGGTTTTCCACTCTGACATACTTGATCCAATAAATCAGCAAAAGAACAGAAAAAGTACAGTGAAACTACTTAAGCGAAAGTATGAGTATTGTGTCAAAATCTTACTTAATTAAAAGTGGAATGGAATGGAACCAAAAACATACTTGAGTGGAAGTCAAAAAGTATCATCATTTGAACCTCTTTTTTAGTGTACAGACAGATAAAATTAAGAGTCACTCATAATTTATTAACATTTAATTGATATTACTGTAGTGATCAGACTGTACAACCCAGACTAGAACATCTGCTTTGTCATAATCTTTTACAACAAACTCTGTGTAGTTCAGCACCAAAAATGGGGCTCAGGTTCTTGCACAAAGATATTTTAGTACAGTTACGTCCAGTCCCATTATACAGTTACACAAAATTGGAAGGAAGAAAAAAAAATATAAGGAGTACTTTGCAGGTTCAAAAGAAAAAAACAAGGAGTAAAAATAATGTTTTCTTTCTTGAAAATGTGAGTGAATAGAAGTAGAGTCAATTTCTTTCTACTTAATACTGTAGTGAAAAGTAACTCAAGTATTTTCCAGCCCTGCTAATCAGCTAATTAATACACCCTTAATGAGTTGAAGTGGGCATGTAAGAGCAGGGAAACACTAGCATGTGCAGAACAGGGGTACTCAATGACCAAAATGGGGAACCACTGTCTTAGGTTAGGGTAGAACAGCATAGCTGCTTCTCTGAGTCTTAATTAACCATTTGGAAAATAATGATTGCCACCTCTCAGCCAATCACAACCATTTCTAAATGTTCCTTCAGAACTTCTCAGAACAAACCTGCAGTGAGAACGGCTATGGCAGTAAATCATCCAGAATTATCAGATGGCATGTAAAAAGGGTGTTACTGAATCACATTTAAATCAAACTCTGCCCTGATCATCTGGAGGAGCTGTTTTTATTTCATTACAGAAGCTAAAAAAGTTTTGAACTAAACTGTAAGGAGGACCACAGTCACAGCTCAGTAGTGAAACTGCTAACAGGCTGAGATATGCTAGCTTTAAGGTAAGCATAAGTAAATTTTTCTTAACTTAGCTGCTGACAGTTAGCTTGATAACAGTCAGATTAAACAGGACTTACACACTAAGCGATGGTCACACTCACAATTAAAACACACTTAAAATATGTAAAAATAAATATTAATGCTCTTGTACACGTCATCCCTGGTACTGTTTCATTACAGTATGCTAACGTACCTTGTGTAAAAGATGATGAATCCTCCACAGCATCTAACACTGCTTTGATTATAGCTTCAGAATTAGCTTTAGCATCAGCTCATCTGAAGGGGCAGCTTTCTAAGTTGAACCCTCTTTCTTATTAAAAACAAAAACCTGACAGTTTACCAGTCGCTAAATGATTTCACAGGTTTAATTAATATAAACATCATCAATTTCATATTAATTGATTGACATTCAAATTTTCAGTTTTCAAACATGTATGTTTAAAGTGCATCCTATGAAGTTTATTTTGGAGTAATAATCCCCTAAAGCATTTTAGTCTTTTTATACAAGTGTTGTGGACACTATCTGGTCACTTGAGCTGAAAGTTTGACAGATATAGCAGCAGTAACTGAGGGAAGCGATGCTTGTTTGAATTTTGCTAACGGTCAGTTGGTGAGCGACAGACATTGGCATATATTATTATCAAAAGTCTTCAGCCAAAACATCTATGGTAATGTTGCCTTGTCTACATTACAGAAATACAGTATTGATGTGAGCATAGAATATAAGTAAATAAGAGTCATTCTCTTACATAATGATGTCATTTCTGATTCAGTGCTTCAGGACTGATTCATTCTGGATAATATCAAACCAATCAATGGTGCATTTTCATTTCTGCATTAAAAATCAAAGTTAATACTGACAGAAATCAAACATCCATCACTCCACCTGATTTCTCACTCTGGTCCTTTTGTCGGAAGAGCCACTTCAGCACTCCTCCAGACTCTTCTTTTACCTGAAGTTCTTTTCTGGATGTTGTTCCTCTTTTCTCTGTCTCTGCAGTTCTCATCACAGCCATCTGATAAACCTCCTTTCTGAGTGAATGAGTTTCACTGAGCTCTAAACATCTCTGTTTCAGTGTCTCCAGCTCTCTGTCCTTCTCCTCCATCTGTCTGCTGAACTCTTCCTGCATCTTTGACTTTGAGGCCAAAATGTTTCTCTGGAGTTCAGGCAGGATGATCTTCATGAGGTTCCTCTCTGCCTCCATTCTGGCTTCTCCTTCATACGTCTCCCTGATCTCCTCCATCTCCTGTCTGTGTCTCTCCTCCATCTCTCTCCTCTCCCGCTCTCTCTTTTCTTTTAGTTTCTTCACCTTTTCCTCCATTTGTGTCCTTCGATCCAACTCTCTTTCTAGCTCTCGTTCCAGTTCTCTCTTTTTCTCTTCATCCCTCTCTTCCTTCATTCTTCTTTCTAGCTCAGTTGTTCGGTCGTTTAGTTGTTTTATCTCTCCTTCATGCTCTTGTACTGCTCCATCTATCTTTCTCAGAGAGTTCTGCACCTCCTTTTCTAGTTTTCTTTTAATTTGTCTCTCTTCTATCACCCTCCTTTCTTCTTTTTCCTTCATGATCTTTGTCTCCATTGCTCTGATCTGAGATTCTGTCTCTCTCCTTAATGCTGAGACAGTGAAACCTGTTCCCACATTTCTCTACGAGTCTCTGGACCTCCTGGTTTCCTGACTGGATAAACTCTTCAATGTTCTTCTCTTGGACTTCATCAGTAACAGTGAAAAGGATCATGGTGTTCCTCCAACATCTCTCTCCAAAGATCTCCTCCATTTTCTCCAACATGCCTCTCTCCTCTCCTGTAGACTGCTTCACTGGTATGACTAGGAGGAAGGCGTGGGGTCCTGGGGCAGACAGATGCACACAGTGTCCCACGTCCTGTCTCAGCTCCTCCAGAGAGAGTCCAGGACAGAACCAGTCAGGAGTGTCCACCACAGTCACCTGCCTCCCAGCCACCTCCCCCTGTCTGCTCTCACTCTGCTGCCTCACTGTAGACGCTCCAGCCTGGCTCCTCTCCTCTCTGCCCAGGATGGTGTTTCCTGCTGCTCTCTTCCCACATCCAGTCCTCCCCAGCAGCACCAGCCTGAGCTCTGCTATAGGAACTGACTCTGGAGAGGCTGAACTAGAGGATTCTCCACTCACTGTGAATCAACAAGAAAGAGGTATTTAATCTCTTACTGTGTGATGGTGATTATTATATATTTTTAAAAATATTAAGGATATTATAGAAAATCAGTGGAATCATTTACTATCTGGAGGAAAGTCCTGCAGACTGTTTTTTCTCCTGAGTGGTGCTGCAGATTCTGGAGTCTCTCCACTCACTATGAAACAGAACAACCAGCAAAGAGGAGAATACATTATTTACAATGTTTTCACTTTATATGCAGAAGAAACACGGGGGCCTCCATCTTCTTAATTTTATCCTTTTCATTCTGGTTTAGTGGCAGCGACTGTTGGTCACTGAAGACGACTTTTACTCTATTTGGTATAAAAATGTTCTATGCTATAGTTTTAAATTGTTTACACATAAACTGTATTATACTGATGGTTTGTTAACCCCTTAGTTACATTTGGAACACTTCAAAATTAAGAAGAAGGGCAGAATTAACCAGCTATGTTTATTTTTAGGAACAATTAAATGGGTATTTTAAAGATGCATTAGCTTGTTTCTAGCACAGCAAAGGGAACCACAGTAAGTCACAGCTGAATATAAGTGTTATTATAGTGAATAGCCTCTCTTTCTCCTCAGGCTGGATCTCCTCTGGATCAGCACAGCAGCTCAGCTGCTCCTCCTTTTAGGTAAAGAGCTCCTGCAGTGACAGCGTCATTATAATACTTTACAGTTAAATGTATTCAAGAATAGGATTTTGGGCTTTTATTTTACTCTTGGTTTGTGAATATTCAAAGAAATTTGCCACCAGTGGCTGATCAAGAGGTTGTTATCGGTGAAATAACCAATTTTGGCTTCATTATAGCAATAAAAATGTTTTTGTATATCAGCCATCACATCAGCCTGCATTTAATTATTTTGTATTGTACAATTCATGTATACATGTCTTGTATCACATTCTGAGCTTGTACACTAATTACTGTTAGTGCTAGTGTAACAGCTGAGCTCAGAGAACGGCACAGTATAAACAGTGAGAACACAGCATCTCAAACTGTTATACACTTGTTCTCTGTTCTCACATTCTAGAAAGGTCATTCTTTCAAGGAAACATTCTTCCCATGAACACAAGTCTGTTCTTCTTGTTCAGGTACAGAAACACTCACTGTTTCCTGATGGCGATCAGCATAAATCAGAAGCTAAAAGACAAAAATCAGATGAGCTGATGCCTTTAAATAGGCGAAGTTGAATAGGATATGTAGTTTTTATATAAGAAAAAGAAGTTTATGTCATGAAATGTATCAATAAGAGTTTAAAATTTTGCTGTTTAATGTTTTGCTGATCTCAACAAATACTAAACTCTTATATAACTACACTTTACAGCAAAGTTGACAATTGTTATATTTGGTTTAATTCATATTAAATCATACTGGAATATGCATCTGTATTTTAATTTGTTAGACACCTACAGTGTGTGATCAAATAACAATATACACACTTTATACATTTATATTTTACAGAATTTCATTTTCAGCATCTTCATTCAACTATATTAGTTACTTACAGTCTGGAGGATCAATCTCTTTGCTGTTTCTCCTCCTGGCTGGAGCTGCTGAGTCTGGATCTGTTCTCTCCTGCAGCTGCTTGTTTCTCTCCTCTAGAAGTCTGTCTTTCTCCTCAACCTGCTTGTCTCTTTCCATTAGCTGTGTGTTTCTCTCACTTAGAAGTCTCTCCTTCTCTTCAAGCTGTTTCACTGTGATCTCCAGTAGAGTCTCTTTCTCTCTCAGCAGTTTGATCTGATTCTCCAGTTGTGAGTCTTTATCTTTAAGCTGCTTATTAACACTTTCTAATCTTTCATTCATTTCCTTTTGATTCTCTTCAAATTTCTTTGTCGTTTGTCTCAGTTCATCTTGTGTCTCTGTGAGAAGTTTGTCTTTCTCTTCTAAAATCTTCTCCTTCATCTGAAGTGTTGCTGTCTTTTCTGTCAGAAGTCTGTCTTTCTCCTCCACTTGTTTTTCTCTCTCCATTAGCTGTCTGTCTCTCTCAGTTATAATGTTTGTTTTCTCTTCAAGTTGTTTAGCCTTTCCAGTTAAATCTGTAAGAAATCATCATTTTGAGTTCACAGTTTGATGGTATTTCAAAAGGAAGGTTTTCTTAGTTAGCTAAATAATTTAAGCCAAAGCTTGTAGTTTGTCCAACAGGATTGTTGCTTATTGTTGCTCATTAAATTTATTTACAGTATGTACAACTTTTAACCCCTTAAAACCCTGTCAGTCCTTCTAACTGGAATTTAAAGAGTTAAACTTAGTTATTAGTCTTTGATGCTCTTTTGCCTACAGACAAAAACCCTTTAAATCAGACCAACACACACAATGACACAAAAAGACTGAAAGGAGATCCACAAAGTCCAAAACCATCAAGGCCTTTACAGTCTGTCTTTACCAGAACAGCACAATGACAATAATCTCTAAAACTGTAGCAGAGAGATCTGAATGATTTATACCAAAATTAGGGAATTACACAAAATATGAGATGTGATAATCTAATAATACTCCATTCTATAATTATTATAATGATATTTTTATTATAATAAAAATGGAAATGGTATTGAAAAACCTGCCTGCATTAAAACATTAGAATTTTACAGGTTTAACTGTCATTATTTTTTATTTTGTGCCTCCTTTAAAACTCACCAGTCAGCAGAACAGATTCCTTCATTTTCTTTCTCTCCTCTTCTGTCCATTCTCTGTTACTCTGTAGAAGAGAATAAAACAGACTGAAGATGTGATGATGGTTGGTGTCAGTATGAATCACTGAGAGCTGATATTACTAACAGTAGAGACTCTGCTGATTGTAGCTGATTGAAATATTTAAACTCAGGTGAAGAAGAGATTAAAGCAGAGTTAGAGCAGGATTTTCTAACAGGAGTAAAACTGAACATCTGACAACAAATCAAGGTTCTGGTAAAAGGTGATAATAAGGCGGCTAAGACAGAGATCAGAAACATCAGACTGATATTAAGCAAAAGGTGACTTTCTCATGCATCCAAATTTGTTTGCATAAGAAAATGATATTTATTAATTAGTGTACTGACCTGATAGACTCTGAAATACAGTATGTCCTGCAAAAGAGAAAGTAATTAGTGAACAATATTGACTCTTGACATGCTGAATATGCTGAACTAAAACTAAAAAAACTAAACCAAAACATAAACCAGACTGGATTTCTGTATGTGTGTGTCTGAACTACAGAGCTAACACTGAGCAACTGTGTCTAAACATGTCTTGAGTTGTAATTTGTTGTGTGCTGTACATTATTTTAATAATTCTTGACTGGACACTACTTTGTGGGAAAAACCTGAAATGATTTAATTGTGGAGCTGAACTGGTCATTCATGTAGGATCATTGTGTAAAAATATAAACACTTATTTCTATTTCAGTGTCTTACACTCTTCATTCTCTCCTCTCTTATCTGTCTCATAACAGACTGTAGAGGTAAATAAAACAGCTTTTCATGCATTTTTATGTTAAGTGTTTCAACTGAACTGACAAATAACTTCTCTGATTAAATGCCACTGAACATTTCCTCTTCCTAAAGATGGAAATTTAATTCATGTTATTTCAATTCATTAACAAAATACATTCACTTATGCTGGTCCACCATAAACAAGCAAGTTTATTGGCAATTTTTTGGTTCACAAGGATTTGAGTAAACCAGATATTAAACCTGGGAGTCAATCATGATTGTAGTTTATTCAACGACTCATCTTGTTCATCTTATTTTATGCCATTTATTTCTGCCAAAAAGTTGTGCTGCTGTTGAAATGTGTCAGTAAACCTTGAGTGAGAGAGAAAGTGATCTGTTCTCTGAAAAAAACCCTCAAGTCACTTTAAGATTCAATCTTTCCTGTGTATCTACAAAACTACACACAGGGTCTGTGAGGATCAGGAGCTTGGTCAGTGTGAGGGTCAGAGAAGTGAAGCTGCCCCTGGACATGATCAGCCTGTAAGGACTGTGGACTAAATGATGCCACATCAGTCCATCTAGAACTCCTCCACACACTGAAGGAACACAGGTGGAGCTGCTTTGTAGTGGAGGAGAATATGAACTGTTTAACTGGAGCACATGAGTAGAAGAGCAGGCTGGAGATGAGAGAGAGCTGCAGACTGAATAAGAGAAGCTGATTATTCTGATCTTTCAGCTTCCTTTGTACTGAAGTTGTGATGTGTGTAAATGAAGCTGTTCGAGTTCACCTGGACTCCAGTGTGTGAGTGTGTGTTCCTGTAAAACCACTAATTCTGGTCAGTGTGGTGTGACTGCCCCCTGACCATCACAAAGCAGGACAGTGTGATTTGGAGAGTCAGTAAAAGAATCAGCTGAATTACAGTAGAAAAGGAAAATGAATGTTCAGCACAAACTCTAATGAAAACGAGACACTAGAACAGTAGAATGTGGTGGTGTGAAAAGCTCTTGTGTGAGTCTCTGTGTTATTTGTAGCTGAGATGATGAGGGTGAGTGTGTGAGTAAGTAGATCTGTCAAATCTGCCTGAGAAACACAGTGTTGAAGAAACACATCAGATAATGAGCTCATTTAGATCAAATCTACTTTACATGGTGAGTTTAGAAATGTAGTCTCACAAATATGAGCTAGAAGAAGTGAATGGAAGTGAAGGAGATGAGAGGATCTCAGTAATCGAGTCTTTCAGAGCTGCTGACTCTTCATTATTTGCTGCTTGTTGTGAGTCACTGATATAGAGACTCATCAAACAGGCAGATAGTGTGTGTGAGTGTGTGTCAGAAGCTCCTGCTGTGTGTGTTCTGGGCTATTTTCAGTAATGGAGGAGAGGAAAACTACAGTAATGAGAGACACTCTAATGATAATGATGTACTGATGATGAACGACTCAAATATTCCATCATCACATAAGAACAGTGACATCACTCCCAACAGAGCCAGACTGCTTTAATTTGTTGTGTCTTTTTCTCATCAGTGAGCTTCACTGTCTCTACATTTCTGCAGTGCAATGGGATTATGCACAGGAGCATTGTGGGAAGGAAGGAGGGAGATGAAGTCAAAAGCTTTCATTCTGAGATCAGAGACTTTATTCATCATGTGAAATTTACCTGAAACTCAATATTATGTAGCTGCTTGATGTCTGTATTGAATGTAGTTCATGTGATAAGAGTATAAAATCAGTCACTACCAGCAGAGAAAGAAGTAAACACAGTTATTTACTTACCCACGATGCTGTGGAATAAAAACAGAAGGAAACACAAAGTTAGTCAAATCTCCATGAGAAACACTTTTACAGTTATAATATTTCAGTCTTTTTAACTCTTTATCTCCTTATCAGAATCTCCTTTTCTCATCCGTACTGTAGTTCTTCATCCTTCACTACTGAACTGTCACTCAATGCTTTCAGTACAACTCCATGAAGACGTTCAGCTAAACAGTTAAAGTGTAAACCTACAGCAGAAACTCAACCCTTATAGAAATGACTGGTAACACTTTACAATAAGGTTCCTTAGTAAATTAATAATTATGCATCAACAACTCATGAACTAATATAGTAATTATCAGTCATGAATAATGAGTTATGCTTCATTACTGATGAACAAACAGGAGAAGGAATTGTTTTTATTCCTGCAGCAGTTAAAATCAGATAAAGTACATTTACAGAACAAATATAATAACTAAGATTAACTGATATATGAACTAAAAGATGAACTGATATAATAACTATTATTAACTAATATAGTGTCAATCAGGAACAGATCATGAAGGAACATATGAAATAAATCATTAAGAAACGGTAAATATAAGAAGAGAGTTTTGTGTTCTGAAGCTTCATGAATGAATGAGGATCATGAGCTGAAGGAAAACTAATGAATAAACTGAATGAAAGACTAAAAGATGAATCTCTATTGTAACAGTCAGGAGTCGGAGCTTCAGGAGAGCCTAATACTGAAACACCATCAACACGTTTTCAGGTTTATGTGGAGAACTGAGAGCTGAAAACAGCTCAAATCAGAGCCGTCAAGCAGCAGGTCAGGCTTTTTTACTGCGCTGATCATTCTGGGTTCGTTTCCCGAAATCACTTCATTAACATGTTTTTAAGAAAGTTCGTTAAATAGCGAGTTTTTTCAGAAACTCTTCTTCACTAAAGAACCACATGAACTCTCTCTAAATGAATGACTAACAGACCCATCAGTTCCTCACACAGAGCTTCTTTATTAGAGTTTTACCTGCAGCTCTGAAAAATAAATAAATAAATGAATGAATGAATGAATGAATGAATGAAAGAAAGAATAAATAAATAAATAAATGCATAAAGTGTATAAGTGTACAAATGTAAAATAATAATACTAATAACTATACTACTACTCATAATGAAAATAATAATAATGGATATTTCTAATACTTCTGCTACTACTAATAATAAAAACAACAATAATATATTTAACTGTATTATTTACTGAGTATGTCAGTAAATATATTGATTTGTTTCTGGCCTCATCATTAAAATGGGGAATATAAACAAGGTGAACAGGAGCTTTTACCCCCTTCACATTATTATTATTATTATTATTATTATTATTATTATTATTATTGTTGTTGTTCTTGTTGTTGTTGTTGTCATTGTTGTCATTGTTATTACTATTATGGGAATAATAAGAGTTAAGAGTATATAATATAGTGTAATGGAATATAAAATTAAAACTATAAGGTTTTAGATTGTAATGCGTTAAATTGGATTAAGTTGGTAATATAATACAATATAAAATAATATAATATAATTTAAAAACAATGTATATGTTTAGAGATTGTGATATATTAGGATGGAGGATAAAGGATTCGTCCCTTTAGAGAAAATAAAGACTCTAAAAGATCTAGAAATGGATTTTTTGTTGTGAAGTCATTTTGATCCACGTTACTCTTAAAGCTACTTCAGACAAACAAAACAATTCTTTTAATTCAAACCTCAAAAACAGGCTGTTTGACTTTTACAGTGTATGTAGTTCATATTTCAGCTAAGTTCAGTGATTCTGTAAGAAGAACTCAATATTTAAGATGATTTAGAACTGAACCAAACTGATTTAGAGTTTAAACTAAAACTTTGCTTGAGTTCATTAAATAAATGAAGCTTTTTTCTTGAATGTTTGTTGATGGAAATCCATGATGTGTCCTGTCAGGCTGAAGGTGAGCTGGCTTGAAATAACTCAGCTGTAAAACTGTAGTATTGCTGTGATTTTACAGATGTAGAGAATCTTCACCATCATCACCAGATCTACAGGCTGGAGATCACATTCACTCACATTCTTCACCTTAAACTCTTTATGAGATTAAAAGTTTAAAATGGAATATTTTGTATATATCGTGTTTGTTTTGATAAATGATGCATTAATATATTAATCAAAATTGGTCAGTTTGAAATATTGTAGTAACATCAAATGGTCAGACGGGGCGCTGGTCTTAATACAGCTCCTGGCGGGAGTGGACATCGCTCAAGAGAAATGAGCTGAAGTTCAGGGTCTGAATCGGAGAACTGAGACTCTTTATTGGTGAACTCCGCCCCGCGCGCAATGAGTCTGAACAGCGCGCGAGTCCACAGATATGACTGAAGTGTGAATAAAGATGCGCAGTTTCGGTTTTATCTCCTCACTACGCGCAGCTCAACTCTGAACACGCCCCTTTTAGTGTCTGTAGTTTGTGGATCTGCAGCTTTAATTAGTTAAGAACAGGATTTATTGTAAGAGTGAGTAAGCAACCTGTATTTATGTCACATATTAAATATAATATTTTAATTATATAATTTCATTTTTATTTTTTCATCTAAAATATTTATTTACTTCTTATATTGTTTGTTTTTTTTAGTTCAGCTGCAGTTGTAAGTTTTCCACTGTGCAGTCATGATGTGGAGGTTTAGAGTCAGAGTGAGAAACAGAGTCACTGTTTTTTCTACTGAAATGCTCCATCTGTCCTTCACTCCACATTAACATCATTTATCCTCTGTATGTTTTACCTCCTTTATCTGAACACAACACCATTCTGAACATCTGTGTTTCTCATTTCTGTCTTTTCATCTTTCATTCTCAGACGCTGATGATGATGATGATGATGATGATGAGTTTATGTAGAGTAAACTTCTGGAATACTTACCCCGCACTATTACTGTACACTCCTCTGTTGTGTCTCCATTGGTGACCTGACACAGATAATGTCCTGTATCTGATTCTCTACAGTCTCTGATCTGTAAGGAGACGTTTCCTCTCTGCAGCTCCTCAGTGAACAGACTCACTCTGCCCTCGTAGCCCCTCACCTCTGTCACCTGCCTGTTCTTATAGAGACAAACAGAGTCCGTCCCCTTAAACCACCTGATCTCCATGGCAACAGCACTAATTTCAGGAGACAGGTGACAGGAGAGAGTGACCACAGAGGGAGACTGAGGCACTTCACATTCATCACAGGGTCCAAAGAGTTTAAACTCCTCTGTGTAGAAACACACACACACACACACACACACACACACACACACACACACACACACACACACACAAACACACACACACATTAATAGTTGTGTCTCGTGTGTCTCCACAATAAAAATAAACTCTCTGATTGAATATTATTTAATGATGTTCACAGTAAAACCTTTTGTAGGTTCTGGAAGTTTAACTTACTGTTTCTTGCAGCCGCCATTTTTATCTCTTTATCTCCTCCTACAGATTCACACTAATACAATCCTACAGAGAGAGAGAGAGAGAGAGAGAGAGAGAAAGAGAGACAGAGAGAGAGAGATTGTGTAAATATTAATGTATAAGGTAGATAAAAGTTTTCCCATTTCCCATTTGCTCCTCAGGTTCGATGTTCACAGTGATCTTTATCCTGATTAGCATGATGCTAACTGCTCTTACCTTTCCTGCTCTTCATACAGTCATATCGCTGCTGTGGGTGAAATACACCACATTTCCAAAAGTATTCGCTCATCGGCCTTCACACGCATATGAAATTGAGTCACATCCCATTCTTAATCCATAGGGTTTAATATGATGTTGGCCCACCCTTTGCAGCTATAACAGCTTTAACTCTTCAGGGAAGGCCTTCCACAAGGGTTAGGAGTGTGTTTATGGGAATGTTTGACCATTCTTCCAGAAGCGCATTTGTGAGGTCAGACACTCATGTTGGACGAGAGGGCCTGACTTGCAGTCTCCATTCTAATTCATCCCAAAGGTGTTCTATCGGGTTGAGGTCAGGACTCTATGCAGGCCAGTCAAGTTCTTCCACACCAAACTCGCTCATCCATGTCTTTATGGACCTTGGTTTGTGCACTTGTGCGCAGGGGTCATCCCCGAACTGTTCCCACAAAGTTGGGAGCATGAAATTGTCCAAAATCTCTTGGTCTGCTGAAGCATTAAGAGCTCATTTCACTGGAACTAAGGGGCCGAGCCCAACTCCTGAAAAACATCGAAGGCCACATGAAGTTTGGAGGTCTGTAGTGATTAACTCTTCAGAAAGTTGGTGACCTCTGCGCACTATGCGCCTCAGCATCCGCTGACCCCGCTCTGTCATTTTACGTGGCCTACCACTTTGTGGCTGAGTTGCTGTCATTTCCAATCACTTCCACTTTGTTATAGTACCACTGACAGTTGACTGTGGAATATTTAGTAGCGAGGAAATTTCACGACTGGACTCGTTGCACAGGTGGCTTCCTATCACGGTACCACGCTGGAATTCACTGAGCTCCTGAGAGCGACCCATTCTTTCACTAATGTCTGTAGAAGCAGTCTGCATGCCTATGTGCTTGGTTTTATACACCTGTGGCCATGGAAGTGATTGGAACACCTGAATTCAATGATTTGGATGGGTGACTGAATACTTTTGGCAATATAGTGTATGTCCACATTTTAATTCAGTTCATATCAGGTTTTTGTCTATAACAGCAGATAATGAGACCATAATAATAAGACCGAGTTTAAACTCTCCACTAATCTCACACACGACTCTCCACTTCAGCATCCAGAGCGGAAGAAGCAGCGACTACTTTCACTTTTACCTTCATTCAGTCGCTGCATTTGAGCCCCAGTCTGGGTTGCCAGATTGGTTCGAGAATTTCCGGCACAACAACTTCCAAATATTCCCAAAATCTTATTTATCAGAAATAGACAGGAGGGCAGATTTGATCAGATAACTGTGAGAGTGACCAACGAAAAGTAGATAAATATGTCCACAGTTTCCAAACTGACATGATATCTAATGATTTATATGACAATATTAAAACAAAAACAAACAATATTAATAACAGTATAATAACAATGTCATGTGGTTTTTGCTCCATATTCAGTAAATAAGCTCAGTTTTATTTTTCATTACAGTGACAGTTTTTTCTTTCTTTCTCTTTCAAAATATCTCAGTAAAATATCTCAGTAATAATAAAGTGATGATGACTAAACAGAAAGAGAAAGGACTATTAACTGTCATGGAAAGTCAACAAATGATCATTATACAGAAATCCGTGTTGAAAATGATGTGATTTATAAATGCAGGCAGGGCAGGTTAGCACTTCTTTCTCTTCTGCTTTAACTGCATAGAAAACATTTAGTGATGAACTTTGTAGAACTAAAGGAAATAATCCATTTAGACTTTAATTACAGAGTTCAATGTGGGAATATCTGGAAATATCTGGCAGCTCTTTCTCAACTCTGTCCGTCTGAACGAGGCCATTTATTGACTTTCTAAGCTGAATAACAATAACAGGCAGAAATCTGTTCTCATATGAGGAAACTGAATACTAATAAAAGGGAGTGAAATTCACTGATGGAGCCTCTTTTAGACTAAACTCAGTGTTACAGCAGGAATATTCAGAGAGAGACTCACTCACACCTTCATCATCATCATGAAGGAGGTTCTTCATCAGGCAGCCGTGTTCTTCACACAGTCTTTTGGGGAGAAGAGCATTAATGAGTGTTAAACACAGCTCAGCTAACATCACTACTGTTATCACTCTTATTAACACTTTCAGACTCACAATAAAGCTCTGAAATATTTTGTTGATGTTCAGCAAAGTGATAGAAGTAAATGTGGAATCAAAAGCAGAGCATCAGTGAATATTACACTGTAGTTACTGATAACATTATAAAAGCTCTTTCAGTGTCTTATCAGTGTTTGTTTCTAATGCAGAGCACTGCTGACACTAATGTAGGAACAGTTTTATTCACTTTTCCAGTAACGTCTACAGGCCTTCAGAACACTGTATATTTATTGTGATATAAAATCTTTACACTTCTATTAAACTGAGAGTTGTTCTACACTGTCATGTTAAAGACTGAAGAAAAAGCTCTTTATGAATGAGGTTTTGTATTAAACTACATCTGGAGACATTTGGAACATTTAAAACATTCAGTCTGTTCTCTGACCACAAGAGGGCAGCAGCATCTAAATGGAGTGAACCTACTTTCATTCATTTACTCCCCTTAAACTGAGAGCTTTTATGGCTTTAATGACTGTTTTTCCTCCTTTTTCTTTTCTGTTTGTTCACCACAATCTATCAGCTCGGTAGTTTGCATGTTAGTTAGCCATGTTAAATGAAGCGCTATGGTTGCAAACTTGTATCATATTGAGATCACTGGACCAGGAGACCTTCTTCCATTGCTCCAAGGTCAAGTTCCAGTGTCCATTTTAGGCACTTACAGCTGTGGACAGGGGTTAGCATAGGTTCTCCGACTGGTCTGCGGTACCGCAGCTCCATACGCAGCAGGGTGTGATACACTGTGTTGTGACACATTCCTTCTGTAACCATCATTAAACATTTCTGACTTGTGCCACAGAAGCCAGTTTCAGTTATGACCAGACGGGATAGCATTCGCTGCCCTCGCGCATCAGTGAGCCTTAGGAGCCCAACACCCTGTCGCTGGTTTGTGGTTTGTCCCTGTTTAGACCACTTTCTGTAGGTACTCACTGCTGCTGAACAGGACCACCTCACAAGCCCCACCTTTTCGGAGTACAACATGTGAACTTTTAGAACGGACTGGTCATTTTCTGTCAGCTATATAACAGACCTTGACATATGCCAACTGATTGGCAAGTAAAATCATCTGGCCTCTATAATGGTCAGCAGATGATGATGAAGCTCTGAGTTGAGTTGAGACACTTCATTTAAGGCAGTCACTGCTACAGAAGAAAACTGGTAGACTGTGGTGAAGAAAAAAGAAAAAGGAGGAACTACCATCATTAAAGCCATAAGGCCAGTTTAGGAGGAGCAATCAGTTCAAGAGGAGTAAAGAAATGAAAGCAGTTTCATTCTGTTTAGATGCTGCTGCCCTCATGTGGTCAGAGAACATATTGAGGTGAAAGTGAAAGTATGTGTGGTTTCCGCTCTGGACGCTGAAGTGGAGAGTCGTGTGTGAGATTAGTGGAGAGTTTAAACTCGGTCTTATTATTATGGATCTGCTGTTATAGACAAAAACCTGATATGAACTGATTTAAAATGTGGACATATTTCATCACCAGCAGCGATATGACTGTATGAAGAACAGCACAGGTAAGAGCAGTTAGTTATTTCTCTCTCTCTCTCTCTCTCTCTCTCTCTCTCTCTCTCTCTCTCTCTATCTGTATCAGACTGGGTGTGAAAATATCTCTTCAGTGTAAGATAAAGTAGAATAAGAGGCTTTAAATATAATATTTATTATATATTTAGAAGGCAGAGCTTGTGAACCCAAATTGACTGTAAGGTGGTTAAACTGCTCTTGACTCTATAAAATTTTACACTGATGTTTGTTGAGGTAACTCCTAGAGAGTCAACAAATGTTTACACTGTGATTTTAACATTTTTAACATTCTCAGTTTTACTGTATATGTTTTATAGTAACTTCTGCTCAATTATGTTTTTGTTTTTTTTTTACTGTGCTCTGTATACTAATTTGACCTTGACCATGAGCTTGTTAATACATCACATTAAAGGAACATATGAACCCATTAAATGGTCAGGGCCCACTGGCAGGCGCAACATTTTATTTACACATTTCTATAACTTAAGAATAGCTCAGCTATGTTGCATCCTACACATCCTTGTAGTTACTGAATAATAAGCCTTAATATGTAATAAGCCTGAGAGTTTAAGGGGTTAAAGATCCTGAAATGATATTCCAAATGTTGCATTGACAATATTTCTACTTTATCATGTTTTATAAATGAATATCTGTTACTTCCATAACATCCCCAGAACATCCTCAGAACGCTGCACGCAAAACATTCTACCTTCATATCACATCACACAAATGTTTTACACAAAGCATTGTCATCTCAGGCCTAAATAACATCCACAAGACATTTTTCAAATGTTGCGTTGAGAATGTTGTTCCTTTGTTATCATGTAACATAATCTGTGGAACATTGTCTGAATGTTGCATTTTAAACATTATGTTTTAGTTAACATTTAACCTCACAGGTACATTATTTGATCCATAAAATTCTTTGTGCATTATTTAATTGTAAAATCATTCATATCCAATAGTTTACCAGTAATGTCATCTGCTAAAGCTAAACCAATATGTCAAACGATAAATCGCTTTCTAACAGCACTGCAAAAAGTATGTATCCTCAGGTTAAATATTTAACAAAACAATAGTTTAATATAACGAAGTAAAATAACTGAGGTAATAATTTTGCATGATATGCCAGCAACTTTAAATCATACTTAATTATATTCTATTAGTTAATATCATTAGTTAACATATTAATTCATAGTCTGTTTGTTCTATGTTCAGCATTAAGTAATGATGATATGCCCCACCAAGTAAAGTCATGGTGTAAATATACACTATATTGCCAAAAGTATTCAGTCACCCATCCAAATCATTGAATTCAGGTGTTCCAATCACTTCCATGGCCACAGGTGTATAAACCAAGCACCTAGGCATGCAGACTGCTTCTACAAACATTAGTGAAAGAATGGGTCGCTCTCAGGAGCTCAGTGAATTCCAGCTTGATTCCATGATAGGATGCCACCTGTGCAACAAGTCCAGTCGTGAAATTTCCTCACTACTAAATATTCCACAGTCAACTGTCAGTGGTATTATAACAAAGTGGAAGTGATTGGGAACGACAGCAACTCAGCCACAAAGTGGTAGGCCACGTAAAATGACAGAGCAGGGTCAGCGGATGCTGAGGCGCATAGTGTGCAGAGGTCACCAACTTTCTGCAGAGTCAATTGCTACAGACCTCCAAACTTCATGTGGCCTTCAGATTAGCTCAAGAACAGCGTAGAGAGCTTCATGGAGTGAGTTTCCATGGCCGAGCAGCTGCATCCAAGCCTTACATCACCAAGCGCAATGCAAAGTGTCGAATGCAGTGGTGTAAAGCGTTGCCACTGGATTCTAGAGCAGTGGAGACGTGTTCTCTGGTGTGACCAATCACGCTTCTCCATCTGGCAATCCGATGGACAAGTCTGGGTTTGGCAGTTGCCAGGAAAACGGTACTTGTCTGACTGCATTGTGCCAAGTGTAAAGTTTGGTGGAGGGGGATTATGGGGTGGGGTTGTTTTTCAGGATTTGGGCTCGGCCCCTTACTTTCAGTGAAAGGAACTCTTAATGTTTCAGCAGACCAAGAGATTTTGGACAATTTCATGCTCCCAACTTTGTGGGAACAGTTTGGGGACGGTCCCTTCCTGTTCCAACATGACTTCGCACCAGTGCACAAACCAAGGTCCATAAAGACATGAATGAGCGAGTTTGGTGTGGAAGAACTTGACTGGCCTGCATAGAGTCCTGACCTCAACCCGATAGAACACCTTTGGGATGAATTAGAGCGGAGACTGTGAGCCAGTCCTTCTCGTCCAACATCAGTGTCTGACCTCACAAATGCGCTTCTGGAAGAATGGTCAAAAATTCCCATAAACACACTCCTAAACCTTGTGGAAAGCCTTCCCAGAAGACTTGAAGCTGTTATAGCTGCAAAGGGTGGGCCGACATCATATTAAACCCTATGGATTAAGAATGGAATGTCAGTCAATTTCATATGCGTGTGAAGGCCGACGAGCGAATACTTTTGGCAATATAGTGTATTTACATTTATCAGTCTTCATGTTAAACAAAGCTTCTGGACCTAACAGCTCTGAAATGCTTAAATACAAATATCTAAGCTTCAGACAGCATTGCTGAAACTGCCTGAACACATTTGGAATACTGGTTAATTCCCTGAAATCTGGACCAAGGCATCACCATGTCCATCTCAAAATCTACAGAGGAATCTCTGTTAGTAGTGTATTAGCAAAAGTCTTCTGCGTTATTATTAACAAGAGGAAAATCTTTGCCTGTTTTGTGGACTTTAAAAAGCATCGACTCTGAATGGCACAAAGTATTATTCTACAAATCCATTAAAAAGCAATGTTGAAGGTTAAATATACATCTAATAAAAACAATATATAATAAGACACAGTGCTGTGCAAAGTTTGACACAAAAGAACTATATATTTTAAACAAAACAAAGGAGTAAAGCAAGGCTGCAGTTTATTTAGCAAGGCCTTATTTAAGGTATATATAAATGACCAAATTACAAAAATTCAGCTATTCCTGGACTCAGGATCTCAGAAAATATCTGATGTATGCACATGATTTAGTAATAATAGCACCAACAAAAGATGCTCTTCAACAGAACCTGTCAATACTAGAAACTTACTGTAAAGATTGGACCCTTACAGTAAATATGGAGAAAATAAAAGTAATGATTTTTTCAAAATAAAGCCAACAATTACTGTTTTTAGGCATGATATATAAATTCAGAAGCAATTTTTAAATTAGCAATTACATCACAGACAGTAAAATCATGCCAATCTTACTATATGTTCAGAAAAACAATTTCTAAGTTCAGTCCACCCACTGCAACGTGGGCGTTATTCAAATTATTCAAGTCAATAATCTAACAATGTGATATGGCAGTGAAATCTGGGGCAAAGAAAGAATAAAAAACTGAAATTTGGGACAAACACCTACAGATTATTTAATCTAGAATCCGCAAAGACATCCTGCAGATGCACAGAGGTGTTTCTAATCTGGCCAGCAGAGCAGAGCTGGTCAGATTTCCACTTGTTCTGGACTTTGAGAAAAGATGCTGTAGATTCTGGTTCCAGATTCCCTTCACTACAGAGCCTCCATCAGTAACAAAACAAACCCAAACCACCCACAAAACAACTCAGCATCACCTCAACACTGACAGAGACTGAAGACAATAAGAGAGCAGATTATAGTTTCTACTCGAAAAACACCAAATTACACACCAAAATAAACTGAAACGCTATGACTTAATCAGAGAAACACACAGATTCATTACCATACAATTTTTTGTCACTTTTTATTAAAGAATCTTTTATTGTATTCTGTTAAGTACTTTGAGCTGCATTTTGATGAATGAAAGGTGCTTATATAAATAAAGACATGTAATTTCTATATTACCCACCGTAGATTGTGATAGCATAAGCCATGTGAAATAAAAGAGGATAATGATATACAAATCTACTGCACGAAAGACCAGAAAGCAGATTCACTAACACTCCTCACAAACTAAACACATTCATTCACTCATGAGCATCAACTAGGTGGTCAAAGGTCAATGAAAATGTACAGTTTACTCCTGTAACTCAGCTATTCACATTCAGAACTGCTTAAATATCTCAGAAAACATGAGTTAAAAGCTCATTGTTCAAACACTCGCTCTGTAGCTTATTTGTTATATTAAAACCATCCTATAAACGATCAGCATCTGTTTTAGAATGACGCTAATTTTTCTTACCTTAATTACTCTTCATTATCTTCCTCCTCCTCAGATGAAATGGGTCCATGTTTCAGATAAAAGCTGTTGTAACAACAAATCATCATTTAGTAGAAGTTAAGAGTTTCTATTCTACTTTTACTTCCTGATTAAATGAGAACCTCCATGTAGTAAAATTCCTGTCCTGGAAGCAGATTAAACTACATTCAGCTTCAGTCACTGAGGTAAATGAACCACACTGAGCTCCAGCAGCACCGACTGTACTTTCTCCCTCCTCATAGTTTCAGTTCAGACTAAATTATAATCCATTTATCTGTGAAAATAACCGCTCTAATGTCCAGCTTTAAGATCAACACCTGAAGATAATCTTTGCTCTCTGAAGTTTGTGGGTCTGAAGTTCATCAGTAGTTAATGAGTAACTCTCTCTCTCCTTCTGTTAGCTGCAGCTGTTAGCATCTTCTTCTGCTGACTCTGCTGTGCTTCTGACTGAAATCACAGATAAAGAGACTCAACTGACCCTCATTTATTCAAATAGGTCATAATATTGAGATTAGTGGGTGAAAATCATTTGAACACACACTCTGTGATGAAAACGTTATAAACCTCGTTCCATATTTCTGCTCTCTGATCATCACAATTCTGTAACATCAGTGGTGGGATTTGGACAGATTGGACTGAGTGGAGCCAGCAGACATTAAACAGTGTTGGGTTTGATATACTCTTTAAAGGATTTTAACCAACATTAAAAATCCCACCTTTATGTCATTTTTTATTATTTTTTGGAATTATCTGTATTGTTATGTATAAAGTCAGTTTATAATAAGCTCTGGTCTTCATCTATGTTACAATAAATGACATACTGTAACAGTTGATGAAAGTTCAGACAAGCGCAGAGCAGGCTATAGAAAAAGGTTTTTAGTGTAGGGAGAATCCGTAATCAAAGTACAAGCAGTCGAGGGTCGGTACACACACAGAGTCCAAAAGGATAAGGCTAAGGTCGTAAACGTAAACAGGCAGAATCTCAAAACCCGGGAAGTCAATACACATAAACAAGGCTCGGTAATGCACAGAGATATAGCAATACTTCACAAAGACAAAGCATAGTAGACAAACATTTATAGTCCTTGAAACAGGTGTAAACAATCAATACTCAGGTGAGCGCAAACGTTGATAGGTGGCTTGCTGAGAGTTCCTGGTCATGTGACCTCTCAGTGAATTCTGGGAGTTGGAGTGCTGGACGGAGTGAGGGATGTCAGTCTCCGCTACAGAAGGCGTGACACATACACAGTTGGTTTAAATGAGTAACAAAAATAATGTATTGTTCTGGTCCACTGAACACATACTGAATACATGAACAGATTGGAGTTGTGGGTTAGAGCTACTTATAAAAACTACACAAACATTTTGTGTTTGCTTTTCAAAAGAAGCATCTGCTGATGTGAACTCTGTCTCACAAGACAGAAATCTCAGTATGATCGGAAACTATTTATTTCCATAAAGCTGGAAAGGGTTACAAAGTAATCTCACAGAGTTTAGGTGTTCATCAGTCTACAGTTAAACATACTGTCTTTAAATGGAAGTGATTTAGTGCTGTGTCTACCCTCCGTAGATGTGGGCACACAGCCAAAATAACAAACACAAAGCAGAATCTTAATGAAATAAAAAAGAACCCAGAATATCAGATAAAGGCTTGATGGAATCATTTGAATTGGTTAACATCTCTGTTAATGAGTCTACTATACAAAAAGCATTGAGCAGGTATGGTGTCCATGGCAGGAAACCATGGATGAAGCTGCTGCTCTCCAAAAAATGACACTGCATGTTTTAAGTTTGCCCAAAAGCACCTCGGCACTCCAAATCGCTACTGGGGTAAATGTTTTGTGGACTGAAGGTTGAATTATTTGAGAAGAACAAACAGCACTATGTATGGTGTAAAAGGGAACTGCACACCAACATGAGTACATAAATGAATAAATGATTAAATGCCTGCAGTCATTTCATTTTAATGCTGCCATATTTCACTATATTTAAAGACATTCACATCAAAAGCCTTAGCTGACCTTTTTACAGTCCCATGCTTTCTAATATAATACTGCTTCTCATCCTAATGAAGTTATACTGACTTTGATTAACTGCCTGAATCATATTACTGAATATAATCAAAGCATGCTGGGTAAATTAGTCTGTAATCAGCGTCTGATTTATGCCATACAATCCTTCCAAATGCTCACAATGTTTTAACATTTTAAAAATATTGTCAACATGATCTTTAACTTTCTCTTGCATTTACATATTTAAGAGAAGATTCTAAACACTAGTTTATCTGTTAAACAGTGATATTTGCTGATTACAATCTGCTCAATCTTTAGTAATTAACTGTAAATAAGCAATAATAATAATAATAATAATTATTATTATTATTATTATTATTATTAGTTTTATTTTTATTCTTAACTAATTCACCAGTTCTTTCTTATTTAAGTACTTAGTGAAGTGCTGATTGCACTAATATATCATTAAAGTGTGAAATGTGGAAAATTTACAGTGATCATTCATCTATTCTACATTGTTATAACAGAAATATGATGCATTAATTAAAAACGTACCCTCATTTATGTCACTCCTAATCCAAGGCCAAAAGCACAAGGCAAGTCTGCTCTTTGACTCTATCACCCTCCCCTGCCTTCTCTCTCTGTCACCATTTTAATTTGAAACATACTTTTAGTTTGAGGAAGATGACATGTAAAAAAAAACAAAACAAAAAAAAAAACAACAACAACAACAACAACAAAAAGAGGCTTGTTCACACCAGCAGGAAATTAAGAGCAAAAAAGTTTAATGTGTGGGCAAATAAATATTTGTCTATTTTTTTCACAGCTTTCTCCTTAACCATTATCATGGTAGGGGTTTTGATTGTTGTCCATACAGTATTTATATCTGAGTAAACTGAGATGCAGTTTATTTTCATGTGCGTTTCTGGAGTTCAGTGTAACAGTCTATGTAAACATTGGCAAACTGAGCTCTAGAAATCCTCGGTTTTGTTAAAAGCTGAGAATGAGAGAGAAGTGAATTAAAAATTCTGGAAATTATGATCACTGAATGCATACTGTATTCAAAGAAGTAAAGAAATATACATGCTCTGGTCCAAACAGAGTGTCATTCTGAAGAACTTTAAAGCGTAAAAACAACAGTAATTTGTTCATTTCATTTGTAAAATGAGCGAATCGGTTTCCCACCTTTTCAAAAGTAACCTCAATGTTTGCAGTTTAGAGTGCAGGCAATACTTTACTTGGCTGTATCTGCCTTCATACCACAGGAGGAAATCCTGTTTGGACATTTTTCATTATTTTAACTCTTTTGTTTTGAAACAACATTTAACAGTTAACTAATAATTATTACTACAATTCTTTTTTGAGCAGCACAAGTATAACAATCATTATTAAGTGATACTAAGTCATAATTATAACATACTAGATGGTGTTTTTTATTTTTCAGTGATGGAAAATTCTTAGCATTACTTTGCGGAATTTGATCACTAGCTAACCACCTTGGTTATCTCAACGTAACATATAAATAATGAATAAGTGTAAGAAATGAAGAAGATGAAAAAGTTGAAGATCTTACAAACTGGTATGTAGCATTGAGGCAATGCCCTGGTCTGATCAGTTGCTCTGGAGACTCATACCATGTGGAGCCATGCCATGTTTATGCTATTTACATATACTGCATCTTGACGTCTTCTAAAGCAGTAGAATATGTATTACGAATATGTAAAATGAGACTGAAAGTCAATGAAAGTCTTGCATGCATTGTTTAGGATCATAAGTAACAATAATACATCACCAGCTATGTTGAATGCTGTGCACATTGTGTGTATTGAAATGCTATCATCATGTAACTTCACTGCTCTGCTGCAGTAGGTGACGTGTGTCTGTCACAATCCTGGCTCCACCTCCTTCTGATTCAACCTACCAGCTTGAACAGGGTTGAATTTTCCACTGATTGAAAAATGGAGCATTGGGCACATAATTCCTGTTTCCTTCTCTGCGCTATCTGAGCGCGAGCTGCACCGGAAGCGTTCACACTGAACCACAGAGGAGAAACCAGCCCGGCTGAACCGGAGTCCCTGTTCACACCGTGTCAGACCTGCGGCTTCGCTGCAGTGAAAACGGCTCAGTTTGCATTTAGTGTCTTTATTACGAACAGCAGTGTTAGCAGCAGTGAGCTAACAGTAGTGAGCTAATTTAAGTGATTTAGTCCAGGCTAACAGGAGGGTCAGCTGAGTTGGCTGAGTGTCCGGGTTTAACGTTAAACACAGCTGAGGTTTTAACCCCAGACTCGCTGTTTCGCCGCCGAATTGGGCTCGTCTGAAAACGACAGTAGCGGCCAAACCGACTGACCACAGACAGGAGAAATGAACGGCCTCATGAGTGGATAAACGAATCGTCATAGGAGTGTTTGAATAGCTGTAAACCCGGACAGAGAGCGCAGACAGAGAGGTCCGCGGGTTTCAGGCCAAATTGGGCTCGTTTGAAAATGTAGTCGTGAGTGAAGTTTTAAAAGTCGCGGTGTTTTGGTGTTTTTGGCTCCTTTAAGAACCGGAATCGCCGTGTGAGTGACTGAATAGCCGTTAACTTGAGGACACACAGGCAGGTACAGTGGAGCACAGAGAGAGAGAGAGAGAGAGAGAGAGAGATGCACGATGTGTAATGTGATGGTGCATCTGTTAAGTTCAATTTATACAAACAATTTCAAACATTACTTTGTAGTGGTCACTGTTGTATCACTGAGCTTATTTAATATGCTAATCTGGCAGTAACAGTAAAGGTTGGAGCTCTTGATATAAATCACAAGAGCTGCAATATTTATTATACAGTAGAAAATATATATATATTAACAAGGTTTAAATGAGGAAATTTCAACAAATCATAGAGAGCTTGTGAACTGCCTGTAGATGAGTTTGATCAATGCATGTGCTGTGTATGTGATAACCACTAAATGGTAGTCTTGCTCACTCAGTGTTCCAGCGCCTCAAGCCAGAAAAAAGTGGATATTCTGGTCGTCTTTGCCAAAATAAAAAGAAATTATATTAATTTATAGAAGATAACTGCATTTAAATCCATATTGCAATATTGGCCAGAAAAAATAGATATTTTCCCCAAATCGTTCAGCTCTCGCTACATCTTGCACATACTATGATTCAAGATTTTATTTTTTTGTTTTAGAAATTATCAGACAACAAAGTCTTAAAGGTTAGAGTTACAATGACATAGAGCAGAGAAAAGTGGCAAATCAGTCACCAAAAGTCAGTAATTTTCAGTTGATCAGCTAATTCAGATATTAATACTACAATTACATATGATAGCAGTAACAACAACAGTTATCATGATTTCAGATTTTTTGCATTTTACATTACAGTGGTATGGATGCTAAATTGATTTAAAAGTGCACAGGATGTGTCAGGTTACAGGCTTAAACAGATAAATGTTTGATTTTCTTTTTTCACAGGTGAGGCAGTGGTCACTGCTTTAATGGTAGCTAACAAGATCATTGAGAGATCCACAGTGTCCAAAGCCTGGAATTACATTCCTTATGGATGCCTCCTCAGATGACTGTCATCTTTCTACTAGTTGTTCTTTAAACTGATATGTAGAGACAATTAAGGGTGAGTGGACTGAGAATGAAGAAAACAAAAGTGCACAGTGAGAATGAACAGTGACATGTCGTTCTATGAGATAGTTGATGTGATCATGAAGTCCCAATCCTTAAAATACAAACCCTATTTCCAGAAAAGTTGGGACATTTTGTAAAATGCAATTAAACAAGAATCTGTGATTTGTTAAATCTCTTGAATCTATATTAACTGACAAAAGTATAAAGAAAAGATTTCACTGACTAACTTATTTAAAATAATTTTAGAATTTGATGCCTGCAACACACTCAAAAAAAGTTGGGACAGAGGCACGTTTACCACACTGTTACATTGTCTTTCCTCTTAATACCACTTTTTAATTGTTTGGGACACGAAGATACTAATTGTTACAATTTTGTAAGTGGAATTTTTGCCCATTCATGCTTAGAACTCATTGAGTTCTGGCTCAACAGTCTGTGGTTGTTGTCTGATTCTGCTCTTCATGATGTGCCATACATGTTCAATAGGAGACCGATCTGGACTGCAGCCAGGCCTGTAAAGCCATGCTGTTGAAGTGCATGCAGAATGAGGCCTGGCACTATCTTGGTGAAATAACCATGGACTTCCAGGGAATTGATGTTGTCTTGATGCATATGTCTCTGTAAAATCCCAATAAATGTGTCAGTGGTACCTTTCACACATATTCAAGTCACCCATGCCATGGGCACTGATGACCCCTACCATGACAGATGTTGCCATTTGCACTTTTCACTGATAAAAGTCTGGACTCTCATCTTTGGCATGGAGAATTCAACATCCATTTTTCCCTAAAACAAGCTGAAATGTGGACTCACTGACAACAGCACACATTTCCATTGTCTTTCAGACCGTCTGAGATGAGCCTGGGCCCAGAGAACTCACCAATGTTTCTACATAGAACTGATGTACAGCTTTCTCACATTAGAGTTTTAAAGTTGCATTTCTTGATGTAGCGGTGGACTGTTAAGTCACAACGGTTTTCCAAAATACTCCTGAAGTACTCCTTTCTCGTGCAGTGCCATCTGAAGGCTTGAAGATCACACACATTGAGCAGTGATTTTTAAGAAATGTTGAGAGATGTTTAAGAGATGTTTAAGAAAATTAACAAATCACAAATTCTTGTTTGTATTGCGTTTTACAAAATGTCCCAGTTTTTTCAGGGTTTGTATTGTCAGCACACTTTCCATCTTACTGTCATTGTTCAAAATGCCCTTAACAACTATGTGAAGGCCACTTTTAAGGACTGTAATAACTGTTGCAGTACTAGGTTCTGTTATTGACACTTGTGCTTTGTATTAGTTAAAAGTCCTCATGCTAGAGGCATATTCAGTGTAGCTGAGTCCTGAGTGTAGTGTGGTTGCCTAGTCCTTCAGGTTGCTGGCTTTGTTTTGAGCATGTATAAGTGAAATCAAGAAACCTTTTTCTCATGCAGTTTCAATCTGAATCTTTTAATAAGTGTATGCTGCTGTTACAGACTAAACTACAGAGAAATCAAGAATGATACAGGAGGTAATTAGCGCTCTAATTTACATTATTGTTTATTTTTAGACAGACATTATAAATCTTTAAAACTGTAGAAAGATTCACAGTAGCTATCATTTTGCCCCCATTTGGTGTTTATTTTGAACGCTAGGTTGCTGGGTGATGTCATGATTGTTAAAGTTCAACTGTCAAAATAAAAAGTGAAGGTATTTATTATTGTTGAGGTTTTATTGTTCTGGCCAAAGGTTTTACATTGTTTTAAAAGAGCAATAGTGTATTGGCTGTTGTGTATTTATGTAAAATTAAAGTACCCCATTCTTTTATCTGCTGAAGTAAAAAGTAATTATGCAGAATGTTTGTGTAATTGAGTATATTGACTCCTGTATAAAAACTGGAATATAACAAAATGACCACAAAAATGGTATATAATTTTTTGATAATGCCAAATTCCTGTGAATATACGGAATGATAAAATAAAAATGTTAACCATCTACTTTAATATTGGGGTAATTACATGTAATTTTGCATTGTATTTCTGTATTTAACCAGTAGAATCCAGTGATGTAACAGTGGTATCTTGTGAATAAACAGTACATTGTGATAGTTGGTAGGCGGATCAAGCAACATTTAACTGTTATCCACTGTAAATTTGTAGGATAAGAACATTTATTGACAGATTATGTCTGTTGATAAATGTTTAATAGGATTGAAAAGACAGTAAAGTGACCGTTAATCTGTAAAAATCTGTACTTTGACAAATTGCAGACGTTAAGTGTATTTATGCAGTATTTCCATGATTTTAATACATTCTAGAGATGTTTTATAACAATGAAAAATTGTAATTCTACTAAACTTTGGCCATAAAATTACACAGAATATTTACAAGGAAAAACTGTAATTTTACAGTAATCTACTGTACAGAATTTTACTGTAAAATTACGAGAACTGTTTGGCAACTTTTGCTGCCAGACATCTTACCGTTTTACAGTGTGACCCAGTATTATTCTACAGGGTAACAGCTTTTAGCTGTTGTAAATATGAATTATAAACTGGAATCTGCTGTCTGTATGTTTAAAGGAGCACTCTCAGTGCTCTCCTTCTGCTTCTTAGCAATTTCTCAAGTGTATTTATGGGCCTCTTCCAGAAAGACCTTACTAAGTTCCACCCCTCTCTTTATTAGGGTCTGCAACTCCCTGTCCTTCTCCTCCATCTGCCTCCTGAACTCTTCCTGCATCTTTGACTTGGATTCAAATAATTTTTGCTGGAGTTCAGGCAGGATGATCTTCATGAGTATTCTCTTTACTTCCATTCTGGCTTCTCCTTCATACGTCTCCCTGATCTCCTCCATCTCCTGTCTGTGTCTCTCCTCCATCTCTCTCCTCTCCTTTTCAGTCTCTTCTTTCACTCTTTCTAGCTCCAGCTGAACCTCATTCCTCCTCTGAATCTCTCTTTCTAGCTGTCTCTTCAGGTCTACCCTTTTCTGATCATCTCTTTCCTCTTGTAACTCTCTCTCTAGTTTAGTTATTCGCTCTTCATGCTGAGTTATTTGTACATGATATTTAGCTGTTAATTCTTCAAACTTCATTGTAATCTCCTGTACACATTTCTCCAGTTTCTCTCTAGATTTTCTTTCTTGTCTCTCTCTCATCTCCTCTCTTTCTCTCGCAATTCTTCTCTCTATCTCTCTGATCTGAGATTGTGTCTCCAGGTAGATCTCACTGCTGTAGAATTTCTCTCTGTTTCCTTCCACCATCTTCTCTATCTTCTCCAGCAGCTCTGAGGTTTGAGAATCTCCACTCTCCTTAATGCTGAGACAGTGAAACCTGTTCCCACATTTCTCTACAAGTCTCTGGACCTCCTGGTTTCCTGACTGGATAAACTCTTCAATGTTCTTCTCTTGGACTTCATCAGTAACAGTGAAAAGGATCATGGTGTTCCTCCAACATCTCTCTCCAAAAATCTCCTCCATTTTCTCCAGCATGCCTCTCTCCTCTCTTGTAGACTGCTTCACTGGTATGACTAGGAGGAAGGCGTGGGGTCCTGGGGCAGACAGACGGACACAGAGTCCCACGTCCTGTCTCAGCTCCTCCAGAGAGAGTCCAGGACAGAACCAGTCAGGAGTGTCCACCACAGTCACCTGCCTCCCAGCCACCTCCCCCTGTCTGCTCTCACTCTGCTGCCTCACTGTAGACACTCCAGCCTGGCTCCTCTCCTCTCTGCCCAGGATGGTGTTTCCTGCTGCTCTCTTCCCACATCCAGTCCTCCCCAGCAGCACCAGCCTGAGCTCTGATACAGGAACTGACTCTGGAGAGGCTGAACTAGAGGATTCTCCACTCACTGTAAATCAACAAGAATAAGAAATTCAACATAACATGTATAACTACATATTTGTTGTTGTGCTATTCCATTAAATATTCATGATGCCACATCAAATACTAATAATTTACTCTTTTGAGAACATCCATCCAGTTTAATGAGTCTGTACAAACAGCAGTAAGCATCTCTTTAAAGTTAATTTGTCTGCGTAAAGTGCATGTTTACATATTTAATCACTGAGATATATTTTGTTGGATGATTGTGGTAAATGAGTACCATAATTCTTATTCTACATTTAAACATCCAATATCAAATCTGTTATAGACATTAATCAGATTTTTTTTTCCTTCCTTTTGTTTTACATCTTCTGATTTATTTCATCTGACTCACAAATCACTCACTTGTTGGAGGATTCCACTCTTTGCTGCTTCTTCTCCCGGCTGGAGCTGCTGAGTCTGGATCTGTTCTCTCCTGCAGCTGCTTGTTTCTCTCCTCTAGAAGTCTGTCTTTCTCCTCAGCCTGCTTGTCTCTTTCCATTAGCTGTGTGTTTCTCTCACTTAGAAGTCTCTCCTTCTCTTCAAGCTGTTTCACTGTGATCTCCAGTAGAGTCTCTTTCTCTCTCAGCAGTTTGATCTGATTCTCCAGTTGTGAGTCTTTATCTTTAAGCTGTTTATTAACACTTTCTAATCTTTCATTAGTTTCCTTTAATAATGAATCTCTCTTATCAACAGTCTCTAAATGTTCTTTTATAATCGTGTTTTTATCTTTCAGTTCTTGTTTTGTCTCTTTTAATTCTTCATCTTTCTCCACAAGTCTTTTCTCCATTTCTTCCATTTGTATTCTATGATTCTCTAATGTGTTTGTTGTTTGTCTCAGTTCATCTTGTGTCTCTGTGAGAAGTTTGTCTTTCTCTTCTAAAATCTTCTCCTTCATTTGAAGTGTTGTTGTATTTTCTGTCAGAAGTCTGTCTTTCTCCTCCACTTGTTTTTCTCTCTCCATTAGCTGTCTGTCTCTCTCAGATAGAATGTGTTTTGTTTCTTTGAGCTGTTTGGTCTTTTCAGTTAAATCTGTAAGAAAACATGAATTAAATTTTTCTGAATACACAGAACTGAGATTTAACAGCAGTGTGAGTTTATTAGCTGGTAAGGAAACATTAAGGTGGAGTAGATTTTGTGTCTCTCTTACACAAAGCCTGGAAAAATTAAACTGGAATATGAAGAGTGAAATACAGAAATTAATTGTTGAGAATAATTAAAAACAGAAGTTTAGACTTACTCATAGAAAAGCCTTTTGCACAATTTTCCATATTCTACAATCTTAGTGAAAACATAAATCTATAAAATAACACATGGTTTTCTGATAAAAAAAAAAAATGCTACTTTGCCTTGTTGCTTCTTTACACACTCTTGTCATTTTAGCATGAGTTAAAACAGAGCAGGACCAGCTCATAATGCTCCCATGATACCAAAAACACGACTGCAGAACACTAGAGAACACTAGAGGGCAGAACAATCAGTTTCTGTGCTTCTTAATACATCCTGTGGTGGATGTACTGAGAAATTCCACTGAAGTACTCAGTACTTAAGTAGATTTTTCATTCTGCTTCTTTTGTATTTCTACTCAAGTTGTTTTGGTTAAAATACTTTTACTTTGTGTAATTATTTTATGCAAGTATCAAAACTTTGTTAAGTACTGATTTAGGCTCCTCTACCCACACCTGAACCTGATCATGAACAGCGTGAGTGTTTTTTTTATTTATTAGCTAACATCTCTGAAGAACATCAGGCTGTTTTCATACCCAGTTCATTTTCTAAAGACCCATCACAATTTTGTTTTTGTTTTTTTTTGCTTTTTTTTTAATTGTATGTGTTTCCTTTGGTTTGGATGGTGGACTGCTAGGGCTAAAGTGGACTAAATTACATACGTGTGTGGTTGTTCTTTGGTCAGAAGTTCTGCAGGGATGCAACACTCTGTTGCTCTCACATTCACCACCAAAAAAATAGAGAAAAATATGACTGCAGAACACTACAGGGCGCCCTGAGAAAGTACTCAATAAATTGTAGTGAATGGAGCTAAATAGCTAAAAATAAATAAATAAATAAATAAAAAAATATATATATTTCTTTCCATTTATGTGGGAATTTTTGCTTTTTTTTATCATGTATTCTTTTAAAACTGCAAAGAAAACACTAGTTTTTTCCATAGCTGACAGGTTTCAGGCAGTAGGAGGGGAGGCAAAACATACTGTTTAAAAAAAGTGACTGACGAAATGTAATTAGGCCACCGACTAAAATTGCCTTTCATGTCATTCTAATGACCGTCTTTATAAAGCTATTCAGAGATGGGTAGTAACTAATCACATTTACTCAAGTATGTGTACTTCACTAAAATATTGATGGATTTTTACTCTCCTGAGTATCTTCAAGTCATATTACTTTCACTTCTACTAAAGTATATTAGTGAGTAAATGAATCGTGTTAATCCGTTACATTATATCCATTCATATTTAGTTCCTAATTCTGTTTTGTGTTTAATTTCAGTTTGTTTTGATGGTGTCAATATTTGTACTGCTTTGTGATTGGTTACATGTCTGACTTTAGAGCTTTGAGCTACTGAGTACTTAAGTAGATTTTCATTCTGCTTCTTTTGCATTTCTAATTAAGTTGTTTTGTTGAAGATACTTTTACTTTGTGTAATTATTTTGTGCAAGTATCACTTTTACTTAAGTACTGATTTAGGCTCCTCTTCCCACCTCTGAACCTGATCATGAACAGTGTGAGTGTTCAGTTTTGATGCTGCTTCAGTAGCTGCAGCCTCAGATAGCAGTAAATGTTACCTAACATCTCTGAAGAACATCAGGCTGTTTTTCTTCTTTTTCTAAAGACCCACCACACGTTCCTTGATGATATTGTATCTTTTTCCTTGCGTTCAGATGGTGGACTGCCAGGGCTAAAGTGGACTAAATTACATACGTGTATTGATTTATTGATCAGATGTTTTGCAGGGATGCACACACTCTGTGATTCCCACATTCACCATCATGAAAAGAGAAAAACAGAAAATAGAGACCCTCATCGTCTCTGTGTGTATTGCAGTTTAAGTTAAACTGATCAGGTCGCTGATGCTCGGAAAAATATGCTCCATAACCTTTAATCATCATTGTCAGTATCACCATATCATTATTTTATTGCTTGTCTCTCTTTATTTACAGCAGCTCACAGTACAGGAACGATATGAGTGTTTGTAAAGTGAAATGTTAGAGCAGCAGACAGTGCAGAGAAAATGTGCTCTGGAAGAAAAGTGTTGAACTCCCTTGTTAATCAGTGCGGCTCAGTTTGTTAGTGCAGATCTGAATTCGGGTGGAGTCGCATGTGAAAACTGAACTAAAGAGAAAGCTGGACAGGTCCACACCAACCAAGGCAGGTCTGAAAGCTCCTCCCAGCTGAAACGGAGATTCTGATTGGCTCTGCCACTCAATTCGACTCTGTCTGCTCGAGCAGTTTCGGGAGAAGAGAGGGGTTTTTTAGTTGTATCCTGAACTCAAAAGGTAGAGGGGTGTTGCCACAGTACTTTAAAAAGTGGTGGGGCAAATGCCCGCTTACCACTGTGGTTCCAGCAGCCCTGAGTAGGAAGGTAGCATTACTGCTACTGAGTGCTGATTGGTTGGTGAGCTGAGTAAAGCAGTTCATGCTGACTGTCATCATGAATGAACATAAGACACTGTTAAAGTCTTATATCTGGATCTCAGTAGAGCTCAGAACAATAACAGCAGTGTTGAAGTTTGTCATGGTCTTGTCTGTTTAGAAAACAAGATCATTTTTACATTTGAAAACGATTTAAGCATTTATAAAAGCTCCATAAGAACCCATTCATTCTGGACTCACTCAGGAGAGCTCTCTAGCATCTGAAGAACACATTACTGAGTGGTCATTCAAAAAGTTCTCTGCTCCTGAATACTTTTTCAGTAAGACTGAAGAAGATACACATCTGTACGTATTCCAGATTTTAACTGGTAGTGTACGTTAATAATTATTAAATCACATTAATTAACACAGTTAATAAAGACTGAGATTTCTGAGCTTAAAGCTGAAACTCACCAGTAATTTATCAGTCAGATATTTTACAATCAGTCTGTGTCTTAAATTCTTACCTGTGTGTTTAAGTTGTTGTTCTTTCTCTTCTAACTCTTTCTGCTGACGGGTGAGTTCAGTTTTCTGTTGTTCCAGTAGGATCATCATCTCCTGTAGTTTGCTGCTCTTGTCCTGCAGTTCCTTTCTCAGACTC